AGTAAGGCCTGCACATCACTGGGTGTGGTCAAACCTTGGCGGCCACCCAGATGACATCATATATTTAATGATTCTATTTAGAAATTCTGATCGTTCATGAAGACTGCAATCCTGCCCAATGATGTAGCCCTTGGAAAATCATCTGTTTTGAATTTAGTGTGGAATCTCGACTTCTGTCTGTAGCATTGCCAAAAGCTTTGCAATCATTTCAGTATATTCAAGTGCCAAAATAAGTTTCAAAATCCTGATATCTAAGGGAGACTTCAATGTTTACATTTTGTTCTTTGAAATCTTTTAGAATTTTAAAAATTATGGTAAGTATAACTTTTCTTTGGCAGAGAAAATGTAATGGAAAAATATATGCAATATAAATGTATATTTTCAAATTTTGTGTTAAAATTGATGAACTTTATACGTGAAAATTATTTGGAAAGAGAAGTGGTACAGAACACAGTCCCAGGGAATTCTACCTTGAGATATCCACACTAAGTATAGAATGGGAAAATGTTTCCAGCCTTGTGTTCTTTCTGAAAGACAAGTGACGCTCAGGAACATCTACCCAACAGTCAGAAATATTGTGTTACCCAAGAAGAATTAAAATTCCAAAATGTTAAATTGTCCCTTGTGGCTTAAAAAGTTAACTTACTTTAGTGAATTGAAAAAAACTGGCTTCAGATTGACTTCAGGGAATAGAAATCATTAGCCATAGTCTTAAATTGCTGGCATCCACTGACCAACTCACCGTGATCATAATACAATGCCACTCTAGGAGAATAGATCTGAAAATCTTTCCTTTTCTTACTACATTGTACTACACTCGGATTCACAAGGTGCAATGAATCAAGATATGACTCAGTGGTAAGTGCTAGCACCAAGAGATAAATTCGATGCACGCATATACCAATACGTATTGCCATCACGTAAGGTGTTCCAGAAATAAGTATACTTTTCCTCCTGAAATTCAAATATTTTTGTTTTCAAAGATTTTGCCTACTTGTGATTTATTCAAGATAACATTGCAAGTTTTGTGTGTGTGTTTGTTTTGGTATCAGAATGTATTCTCTCATGTGTGAAGAATTATTAACTGCACGCAAATTAATCAGCAACTGGAAAAAAGGTCCGCGGTATACTATTTATAGTATATACCTTAATTTCAAAGACTTAGTACATTAAAGCTGATAATTCTGCAAGATTTTTCTCCACTTCCCAAATTTTTCCAGCTTTTTTCTCTTCCCCTGAGTCTTTTCTTCATTGCTCTCAACTATATTCTCCCTTTAGAACATTTCTTTCATATTTCATATTTCTGCGTGATACAGCTCTATTGCCTTTCCCCCTAGATGGAGTTTTGTAACATCACAGTTATATTCTTTCCTGAGTATGATGGGCACTGGCATTAAACATAATTTGCTCTCTTAGCAGCAAGTCTACTGTGCAAGAAAAAGAGAAAAAGTCAAACTCTCACTTCAAACTTTTTTTCCTCCCTGAGGATAACAGATAAGCATGTCAGAATAGACAGTCAATACTTCCTGATCTATGGATTCTTATTTGTAAGGATCCAAATTTTATCTTTTTTAAAAAATTACTGTCACTGTCACTGTCCTCCCATTGTTCATCAATTTTGCTTGAGCTGGCCCAGTAACATCTCCATTGTGACACTTGTTACTGTGTTTGGCATATTGAATACATCACGGGTAGCTGGCCAGGCTTTTGACGTGGGGGTGAGATACTCTCGGTAGCTTGCCGGGCTCTCCGAGAGGGGCGGAGGAATTGAAACTGGGTCAGCCAGGTCGGCTGTGTGCAAGGCAAATGCCCTAAAACATCATTAATTACAAAGTTACTTATAGTTGACTTTTAGACACACACTGTTCCAGCACTGACCCTGTCATTAGTGTCTTCTCCCCTCCTACAATGTTCCCAGGGTCCTTCACTGCCCTTCACCACCTCTAACCTGCCTTCTTGACAGTCACCTTTTACAGTTTGGTCACTAAAGTTTGTGTCATATTACTGCATTTTGTTATTCTATGGTCTAGATATTTATCTCAATCATTCCTTAATGCCTCTGATGGACTAAGCCCCTTGACCCTAGGCCCACCATTTCTTCTCTTCTGTATGTTCTCTCCCACCTTTCTAGTAGATTTCTTTCCTTTCCCTCCAGATACTCTCGGGCCACGGTGGATGTAGGTGTCCCCCTTCAGACCATTGCATTCTTGCATCCAGTTGTTCTATATGCCATATATAGGTGCTATCATTCTGTGCTTCTTCTTCTGGCGTTCTTCGTATAACATTTCCAGTTCCATCCATGTTGAATCAAACTGCATGATTTCATTATTCCTTACAGATAAGTAGTATTTCGTTGTGTGTATATGCCACATCTGTCACTGGACATCTAGATCAAACACATATTTAGCTAAAATACGGAGTGCTGCGAATAATAGCAGTGTACAGATGTTCGTTTGAATACATATTTTTCTGTCCGGGGGGAAGATAACCCAAAGAAAATTTCTGGGCTATGTGGTAGCTCAGTTCTAATTTTACCTCCACACTATTTTCATCCAAATTCATAACTTTCAGTAACTCTGCCATTCTGATTTTAACAATACTGATTTTTACAAGTGTGATTTTCTGTTTAAAATTTTTTTTCTATTGAATCATTATGAGATTCAATTACAGAGCTTTCATTATTGACTTTCAGGCATATAATTATTGAACACCCATCCCTTCACCTGTGCACATTTTCCACCACCAATGTCCCCAGTATCACTCCTCCATCCCAACCCTCCCTCTGTATCTATGGCTGACAAGTTCCACCATACTCTCTCTCTACTTATGAGTGTTATGGTTTGTAATACAGATACTGAGATGCCATCATGTTCGGTCCTAAAGTCTACTTTCAGCACACATCTCCCATCCCAAATGATTCCTTCAACCATCATTGACTTTAGTGATCCTTTCTCTATCCCAGCTGCTTTCACCCCCAGCTCATGAGACAGGCTTGCAACTATGAAGCAATACTCCTAGCCCTTGTGACTACTGTCCTTGGGTGTCAGTCTCATATTATGTTATTTTATATTCCACAAGTGAGTGTAGTCATTCTATGTCTGTCCCTCTCTTTCTGACTCATTTCACTTAGCATGATACTCTCCATGTCCATCCACTTATAAGCAAATTTCATGACTACAGCCTTTCTAATAGTTGCATAGTATTCCATTGTGTTGAAGTATCAAAGTTTGTTTAACCAGTCGTCTGTTCTCGGGCACTCAGGTTGTTTCTAGATTCTGGCTATTGTGAACAGTGCTTCGATAAATATTCAGGTGCAGATGACATTTCTACTTTGTTTCTATGCACCCTCAGGACATGTTCCCAGAAGTGGTATTGCGGGGTCATATGGGAGCTCAATTTCTAGTTTGGGGAAGAATGTTCATATTGTTTTCCAAAAAGGCAGGCTTCGTCAGCATTCCCATTAACAACAAATGAGACACCCTTTCTCCCCACATGAGTGCCAAAGCTGGTTTAACAACAAACTCTTATAGGCTGTGGAAGATACAGAAATATTTAAGAGATACCGTAAACTGGAGTGATGGTAGTCCTTTGTATCATAGTTTGTCTTTTGAAGATGTCTGTCAACAGATTCTTTGTGTCTTCTTTTAGATCTGACCCTATGAAACACATGTATACACTGCCCACTGTATGCCTTGATTTTGAACAAATAATTCAGCCCTTACATATATGGGTACTTCTTCTTTCCACCCTCCTTAGCCCCAAAACCCTTCTTCAGGAAGCAATCTATTTATTTATGTACTCAGACAATAATTTATGCTATTTTTAGTTGAATAAAAAACTATCATACATGTTTTCTTTTTCTCTAAGAATTATTCTTTACCTTCATGTAACTATAAACATTACCAAGTCTATATCTTTTCAAATTTGTACATTTTGCACTCTTGTCATAATATAATGAACAATTGATTATATTTCACCCAAAGTCAGTGGAGATCATTTTGGATGAGATTTATTTGATTGGACAATGAGATAATTTGGAAAATGATGGTTGATAATACCAGGAAAATAATTACCTTTTATGATAAAACCTGAATATCCAGAGGAAAGTTTTAACTAATTATTGGAGAGACAGTAAGAGTCATATGATGTTTAAAACTACATGGTTTTCAATGCAAATGGGATGAACTGAAACACTAAATTTTTCCACTGGATTTCATGTTATACTCTATAAAGCAAAGCTTCTATTTAACTGTTTTCAAATCACATTGCCCTGTACAGAGTCAAGCATATAATTCTCACAATTGGTAGAAACACACTGTCCTCCCATTGTTCATCAATTTTCTCAAGTGAGCCCTAGTAACGTCTCCATTGTGAGACTTGTTGTTACTGTGTTTGGCATATGAATACATCGCGGGTTGCTTGCCAGGCTCTGCTGTGCGGGCGAGATACTCTCAGTAGCTTGCCGGGCTCTCCAAGAGGGGCAGAGAAATCGAACCTGGCTCTCTCGGGCCAGCCGCATGCATGGGAAACACCCTACCACTGTGCTATCACTCCAGCCCTATTCTCACAATATTATTTCTATAATTAAGCACAAAATATCAATGACTATTATATTAATAAAAGATTATAATCAAGCAAGAGACCTTTTGACATTCACAAATAATAAATGCGTATTAAATATTGAAATAGTGAATGAGCTATAAGTAAGATTGGATAAAGAAATGAAATATAGCCCTCTCAGAAATAATAAAATTAAAGTTCAAAAGAAAGTTTAAGGAGAAAATCAAAATTAAAAATGAAGCTAATTAGAAACAAGGTGGCTAGAACTTGCGAATTGCACATGGAATAATGATGTTTTCAGGAAATCAAAAAGGGAAGCTTTAAAACATGAGTTGCAAAATCGAGAGATCAGAATATAAGGAGACAGGGATGACTCAAGGGACATTAGAAACCTAAGTCTATTTTCTATTCTCATTAGACAGGAGCAAAGTATTCTGAAAATGGCCCTGGAAAATCACACCACCGTCACTGAGTTCATCCTGCTTGGACTGTCTTCTGATCCCAACATTCAGGTTCTCCTCTTTGTCTTGTTCCTGGTGATTTACATCCAGACACTTGTGGGGAACCTGGTGCTGCTGCTGGTGATCGGTGCTGATTCTCATCTCCAAACACCCATGTACTTCTTCCTGAGTCACCTCTCTTTTCTGGACCTTTGTTTCTCCTCAGCCACAGTGCCCAAAATGCTGGAGAATCTCCTGTCTCCGACGAAAACCATTTCTGTCAGGGGCTGCCTGGCTCAAGTCTTCTTTGTATTTGACACTGGGGGTACTGAAGCAGCCTTGCTCTCAGTGATGGCCTATGATCGCTATGTCGCCATCTGCCACCCTCTGCTCTACGACCAGAAAATGAGCCACAGCCTCTGCCAAGGGTTAGCTTTGGGGGCCTGGAGCCTAGGGTTTTTTGATGCACTCCTCAATATCCTTCTAGCAGTGACTTTGGACTTCTGTGGGGATCGGTCCATTCCACACTACAGCTGTGAGTTGCCCTCTCTCTTCCCTCTGTCCTGCTCTGATGTCTCCATTAATTTTGCAGTTCTGCTCTTTTCTGGCCTCTTTCATGGACTTGTTACATGTTTCCTGATAATTTTTTCATACACTCTCATTATCTCCACCATATTCAACATCAGCTCTTCCTCGGGTAGAGGCAAGACGTTCTCTACCTGCTCTTCCCACCTCACTGCGGTGGTTTTATTTTATGGATCAGCATTCCTTCGCTATTTCCTGCCAACCTCAGGCTCTCCACTGGAGATGATCACCTCTGTGCAATACAGTGTGGTCACCCCCTTAGTGAATCCCCTCATCTACAGTCTGAAAAACAAGGAAGTGAAATCAGGTGTGAGAAGGACCTTTAAAAAGTATTCACAATATTTTAAGTAGCTGACCAGGGTCAAGAGATATTATTATGTTTGCTTGGTTTTTTCTTTTGGCGGGGTGCACACCTGCTGGTGCTTGGGGCTTACTCTTGACTGCACTTAGAGACAAGTCCTGGTGTGCTCAGGGATCCATATGGTGTGCTAGATGTAGAACGTGGCCGGTCATGTGCAAGTCATATCCCCTACCTGCTGTAATATTGCTCTTGTCTCAGTCAATGGATTACTGGGAATTTATTTACTTGAGTTACATTTTATGGTAAGTTGGCTATATAAGAACTTGATCATTGTTTTAGTTATTGGATATAGAGAGCAATATTAGGAATTCATGGTCCGATGACCAGGATGAATAACAACATAATTTTTTTTCAATTTTGTAAGAATTTATTGAATCATCATGAATGAACAGGTTTCACAGTTATTCACGATTGAGTTTCAGTCAAAAAACTTTCTAAGTTATTTTCCAAATGGATTCTAATATTTTATGTTGTTAGAAGTAATGCATTTGTAATTTAGTTTCCCTGTTTCATAATCTTGACAGTATTATAATTTTTAAATGCTAATCAATCTAACAATTCTGTGATTATTTTTAAAATAAACTATATCCCCACATTCAATGTGTCAAAGTAATTAAAAATTGTTTTTATAGTATTTATACTGTAACTTTAATATTTGTGACATCCTTTTATAATTTATTTAAAATATTATCATTTAAATGATTTGGTGAAGGAACACAAGAACTATTTGTACCATTTTACAAATATGTATTTTATCAATTTTGAATAAAATGTGAAGAAGAACTCTTGGTTACTATGTTATATCAATACACGTTCATCAATTATAATAAATATCTCTATTAGTAGTTCATAGAGTGGAACTTAAAATGTTTTGAAGGGAAACTATGTACAAACAAAATCGGTGAGACCATCCCAATGGTCTCAATGAGCACCGCCAGGAGTAATTCCTTTGTACATGAACCAGGAGTAAACCCTCTGCATCACTGGGTGTGACCCAAAAAGCAAAAAAAAATATCCTCCTCTTTAGTGAACCCCAATTCTACTTGGGGTCTGTTAATGTTCTATAGGAGGCCATGATATTTGTCCACCAAGATGCCAGATTTATTACACTAAAAGAAACTGCCCACTGGAATTGGAGGAGTTACAGAGTGTTACTCAAACTGATGGTGATATTCAATTTTACAAAGCTGAAGTGTTCGGGTTCCTGATGAAGATATGGCCAATCAACCTTGAGAATAAGTTTCTAGTCCTGTGTTTGCTGAATGATAAGCTTGTGTGAACAAGATCCCATTTACTCCCTCTCTCCACTAGCAAGCCTATGTTTGGCTTTCAGCTTACCCAAACCTCTAATCCGTAAATTATAACATGAAAACCATAGGCAGAACTTCTTGTGACATTCAATTGAGTGGCATTTTAATGACTCTGTGCTATTGTCCAAAAATGCAGAGCAAAAATTAAGAAATGAGAATAAACCAAGTTTAGAAGCTTCTTTATCTCAAAGAATTGATGATTAAGAATGAAAATATACCACAGAAACTAGGAGAAATTATTTGTTGAGCACTCACTTGACAATGAGTTAAGATTGAAGCTACATAAAGCTAAATTTAGCAATTAAAATTCTGAACACCTATCTAAATGTAGGGAAAGGTAATGAATATACTCTCCCTTAAAAGATACGTGTAACACCGTAGTACTGTCCTCCCGTTGTTCATGGATTTGCTGGAGCGGGCCCAGTAATGTCTCCATTTTGAGACTTGTTGTTACTGTGTTTGGCATATCGAATACGTCATGGGTAGCTTGCCAGGCTTTGCCGTATGGGCGGGATACTCCCGTTAGCTTGCCGGGCTCTCCGAGAGGGACGGAGAAATCAAACCTTGCTTGGTCAGGCAGATCCCACGCAAGGCAAACGCCCTACCACTGTGCTAAAAGATACAGACATATGAATAATGGTATATCCAAAAGCTGCTAACAAGATGATAAATATAATCAAATAATAAATTTAAAAAATCCTTTAAACTAATGAGAAAGAAGAAACAAGCTACCAGAACTTAAAGGAGATGGCAGAAGCAGTACTTAGTGGAAATCATAGCAACACAGGCTGACATTAGAGAAGACAGAAAAACTCAAGACCATAACTACACACATGTCTTAAGAACCCAGAAGGGGGGGGATGGAGTGATAGCACAGCAGGTAGGGCATTTGCTTTGCCCACGGTCCAACCCGGGTTCGATTCCCAGCATCCCATATGGTCTCAATGAGCACCGTCAGGAGTAATTCCTTTGTGCATGAACCAGGAGTAAACCCTCTGCATCACTGGGTGTGACCCAAAAAGCAAAAAAAAAAAAAAAAAAAAACCCAGAATGGAACAACGATGAATCCCAAAACTAACAAAAGGGGAAAAAAACTAATGAATACAAAGCAAAGATCAATGGCTAGAAAGTTAAGTAGGACCTTTAAAAATTCTTTCCAACATTTTAAGTAGCTGACCAGAGTCAAAGGATCATTTTATTTGTTTTTCTGCCACACCTGCCAGTGCTAGGGGCTTACTCCTGGCTCTGTGCTCAAAGATCAGTCCTGGCTCTGCGCAGGGAACCATTGTGGGTGCTAGATATCTAACCTGGATTGGCCATGCTCAAGTGCCCGATCTGCTGTACTACTGCTCCTGTCCCAGGCAAAGGGTTACTGGAAATTTATTTACTAGAGGTACATATTATGGCAAGTTGGCTCTATAAGAACTTAGTCATTGCTTCAGTTATTGATGTAGAAGCAATATTAGAAATTCATAGTCTGATAATCAGGACAAATACGAACATGAAATTCATATTCTTTTCAATTTTTAAGAATTTGTTGTATCACTATGAGTCACTATCAAGTTACAAAGATTTTTATAATTGAGTTTCAGAATGAATTTCTAAGTAATTTTCCAAAAGAGTTCTCATATTTTGTCTTGTTAGAAGTAATGCATTTGTAATTTAGTTATCTTGTGTCATAATTTTAACACACTATTATAGTTTTTGAATTTTAGTCGCTCAAATAATTTGTGATAATTTTAGTTTTAAATAAACTATATACTACAAAATAAATGTGTGAAATTAATTAAATAAAATATTGTTTGTAGTTGCTATATTGTATCTTTAATGTTTGCAAATTCTACATTATGGACTTATTTAAAATATCACCATTCAGATAACTAGATGAAAGTGACAAAGGAGCTCTGCACAATTTTACAAGTTATGTATTCTAACATTTTTAATAAATATATAAAGAATAATAGGATGATTATGATGTATCAATTAAAGTTCATCAATAATTCCTACTTCTAGAAATAAAAGACAACACAAGGAAATGAAACACATCCCCTGCTCATGGACTGGGAGAATTAACATTGTCAAAATGGCAATGCTCCCCAAAGCGTTATACAGATTCAGTGTGATCCCTATGACCCATGACATTTTTCAAAGATACTGATCAAACACTACAGAATTTCATATGGAAAAATAAACTCCCATGAATAACTAAAGCAATTCTTAGGAGAATTCTTAAGGGAAAAAGATGGACGGTATCACCTTCCCAAATCTGAAACTCCACTACAAAGTGGTAATAATTAAAACAGCATGGTATTAGAACAAAGACAGAGGGAGAGACCAATGGAATAGGGTTGAATATCCTTACATCCATCCTCAAATATATGGTCATCTAATTTTTTATAAGGGATCAAGAAATATAAAGTGGAGCAAGTAATACCTCTTTAACAAAGAGATGCTGGCAAAACTGGACAGCTACCTGCAAAAATATGGGTTCAGACCTCTACCTAACAAATGCACAAAATTCAGATCAAAATGGATTAAAAACCTCAACATCAGACCAGAATCCATAAGGTACATACAGAAATAGGGTCAGCAAAACCATCCACGACACTGAAGATAGGTATCTTCAAAAATGAAATGCCACTGACTAAGCAAGTGAAAACAGAGATGAACAAAAGGGACTATCTTAAAATAACTAGTTTCTTAAGTAATATCTTAAACTAAGTACCTCAAAAGAAACTGTGACCAGGATACAAAGACAACCTACAGAATGGGAGAGATATTCACCCAATACCCTTCTGATAAGAAGTTTATCAAGGATATACAAGACACTGGTTGAACTCTACAAGAAGAAATCATCCAATTCAATCAGGAAATAGGGGGATGAAATGAAAAGAAACTTTCTAAAAGAAGAAATTCAATTGGCCAAGAGGACAAGGAAAAATGATCTTCATCACTCATCATCATGCAATGCAAATCAAAACAACAATGAGATATCATCTCACACCACAGAGACTGGCACATATCCAAAAGAACTAAAGCAGTTGTTAGCGTGGATGTAGGGAGAAAGGGACTCTCCCTTGGGTTATGGTCCTACCAGCAGGTCAATCTGCACCTGTGAGGTGAGTGCATCAGCAGCCTGATGGTGCCTTCAGACTTCCAGATACCCCAAAATTGCTGCTGTTCCTTTGGCCAGACCCCAACAAGTTGGGACCAAGTTTACCAAGAACAGGCAAAAGTTAGGCATGTGGGAGACACACCCACAAACCACCTCGGACTCAGCTATACAATTGGAGGCAAGGCCTCTCTGGTTCCTGATCAAACTGCTTAACAGCCATGATCCCAGAGACTCAGAAACAAATCTCAGAACCTAGTGGCTTTTGGCAGAAATGTTTCTGGTCCCTGCAGTAGGTTACTGGTGCCAGGCCACCCTAGGGGGGAAAGGGTGCTGTCCCTCCACCTGCTCCTCCTTGATGGCTCAGAGGTCGCCATCCTTCAGAGACCATTGGCCAGTCAGGTTTGGGTCTGAAGTGATGATACACACGGTGCCTCATGGGATGAGGATGGAGCCATCCCTTTCCTCCCCACCCCAACAAGACCCTGGGACGCCGCCCATGAATGGTCTCTCTGGCTCCTGATCAAGCTGCTTAACAGCCATGATCCAAGAGACACAGAAGCAAATC